TCTCAGGGGTAAAGTGGCCTGGGTGTGAAGCTGACCACTCACTTCCAACTAGTGCTGAGTTCAAGAAAACGTGGTTCTATACATCCATTCCCCATATGGCTCCATGGTGTAGTGCTTAATTAAGCACAGGGAAAACTTCACCTTTTTTATATATTACAATAATTAAGAAACTGTAGAAATAGTAACAATTATGGTCAAAGAATTGTCTTTTGCCTTATCAGACTCCTGACGTTAAAAATACATTTGCCATTTTGGTCTTCATAGATCTGTCCAGTGACAAAGAAGTAGAAATGTAGAATGTTGGTAATTATTTGAAGCTCCAGCAGTCTATACTCTGTTGTCAAGCAAAATATAATTAGTTAACTTTCTCAGTGTTCTGAAATGTTTCTTCAGGTTATAGTAAGTACTGTGGCCATAGACTGTATTTTATAAAGAGTAATTAGAAGATAAAGTGTCTCCAAGTGATGTAAACAGTTATAGTCCTTTTTTACTGTTCATTCCTTGTGTTGAGTAAAATGGTTATCAATAATGTGATCATATTCTGAAAGTCACTTGGAGTCATAAAAAGATAGAAATACCTCAGCTACAGAATTCTGTCCAGTCTTTACCGCTGTTCAACAGGTTCGCCAGGCCTGTGATGTGAACCACGACTTGCTGGAGAAAGTTGGAAGATTTGACACAGTATTATGATTATGGAACACATTTCTTGCATTAACAAATTTCATTCCAGTGACACTGTAAACAGAAGTTAAATTTATATTAATCAGTCATAATATTTCTGTATTCTTCAATTTTCAGTGTCATGTCAACACAAAATGAACATGCATGATGTAATTGACATGATTTAATAATACACAACAAAATATTTGTATTTATTTCAGGTTCAACAGGAAGAAGAAATGTACATTGTAAAACCTGAAAAGCAAACACCCCAAAGAATTAACATGGTCTTTCATGTGTCAGGATAGCTCGGTCAGTATGGTGACAGGCTATGAGCTCGATGGCCCGGGTTCAATTTCCAGCAGTGCAAGATGTTTCTTTTCTTCGCAGCATCCAGACAGACTCTTGAGGCCCTCCTGGACTCCTATCCAGTGGGTAAAGCTGCAGGAGCATGAAGCTGACCACTCACCATCATCTAGTGCAATGGCCAAGAAAGGTGGAGCTATATGTCAACCTCCCCAGTATGACTACATGGCATAATGCTTAACTGATTAAGCACAGGGACAACTTTTTATCATGTATCTGACTAGTTAATTCCATGGAGAAAAATCCTTCATAAGACACTAAAAGTCCATCAGATGGTCAAGAAATTCCATACCACTTATGAAGCCATAAGTTTCACGACATGTTCAAACAGTCCACGAATGGCTCCTATCCTGAGCCAGGTACATTTGTCCAAGAGGCTTGTGTAACACTTTGTAACATGCTGTCTTCCATTTTTGGCAGCTGTTTCCTCCCTTCCCCAAGCTTGAGGGCCACCTCTTTCCAGGTGTTCATGACTGCTTACTTAATATATTCATACTTACCGTGCACACCTGATGTCCTTCCTGTGCAACGTTAGAAAATGCAATGCCATGGTGATGAGGAACTCAATTCAATTCATAAATTGTGAATCGAGCAGCCACTGTCGTCATTATAAACATCTTTATCCTCTATTTACTCACCCCTTGAGACCTGTTATGGATATTAAAAAAACACAATTCTTTCATAATTTCAGAGGTCCTCCCAAACAACTTACCCCTTTTAATTGACATTTCAGAATCTTGTCACAGTTAACCCTGCTATATTCTTTCCAATTTCTTCTATATTTAAGATTTGAGGCTTTCACGGCGGTGACTATGAAGAAAGCAGTCTTTTGGGATTTGGCACCGTGTATAAGTGGTGTTAACCTTCTCCTTCTTCTATATTATTCTATAAATTCTGTTCATTCTACAGTTCAAAAGAGTCAATATTTAGTTCTGATCATATTTGTATGGAAACAATTGAGATTCAACATAAGAAAATATGAAGGTGGTTTAAATCAGGTCCTGCGGCTGTCTTGAGACTTTTCTGGTTTATAGAATGTATGCTGCGGCAAAGTAAGGAAAATACAATACCTTAAGACTTAACACAAAGTGTACTTACTTTGAAGAATATGAACTCGATACCGAGGTCACAGACATTGAAAGGAAAATGGTTGTGTGAAGTTTATATGTAATGTATTTAAAACACATTTTTCATATGTACACTAAATTCTAAATTACAATAAACACCCAAAATAATACTAAGAAGAACTTTTTGAGTAAGAATCTACTTTACTAGTTCTTCTCTCACACATAACATCAATTACAATTCTTTTTTTTTATTAAATATACTACAATTACATGCCTTTGAAATCAAGATCACATTTTAAATGCAGTATCAAGACATGAAAGCATTTATTTCAAAGGAAGTAATGTCAGCACTTTACTCCATCCAGTGAAATCGTGAACCATATTTAGCAGGAGGACGCGGATAATCATCTGGTAAGTATGGTGTGTAGTCAGGATACACATCCGGTTTCTTGGGCTCTGGTTTTGGACGTTTAGTGTCATGAACCTTCACTTCACAAAAATATCCAAATTGAGGACGTTCAATTCCAAGGTTGTCCAGGACACATTTATCATAAACAGCTTGCGTCTTCCGGCAACTGCAACAGTCAAGAAAAATATTACACTGAATTATATGCCAGTAACATTAACACAGGGAACCAAAACATTCTTTTATTTCAGGCAAATAAAACAGAAACTTCTGGAAAGAACACACTGTGCAATATGAACTCCACATATTTATGAACAAAACTGTATTTGGTCTACAGACACCACTCAAGACTTGCATTTGGGAGGGCTCAGTTCAAATTGGCTGTGACACTAGCAAATCTGAGGTTTTACATGGCCTTCCTCAGTCTCTCCAGGTAAATGCCAGAATAGCTACTTGAATGTTTTCTTCAAAATCCTTTTAGATCCATCATATATCAGTTATTTTACCATGTGGTGTTATATGGTCCAGATACTGAAAGCACTATAACCCACAAACCCAACCCCATAAGCCAATGTGTATAGCACTCTTGCAAAACAAACACTTTCATTTTTTTTGTTTCCCTTCCATACCCTCCACTAAAGCATTTGGCACTTATTTTATAGGCAGATGTTTCCCACATGTTGACAAGAATGTTCCTTAATGACATAAATTTCTGGATGCACAGTACCATACAACTTAGAATGTACAGTGAACAAATATTCAGCTAGATTACTTTCATATTCATATCTTACATACTTACTTACTCGCTCATGGAGCTGAGCCCTTCTTGAGAAGCTACCAGTTGTGCAGCGACTCAAGAATTTCCCAGTATTTTACGGAACCCGGAAGTTCATTACCATGTTCACAAGAGCCCTCTACTGGTCCCTATCCTGAGCCAGATCATTCCAATCCATAACACCCCATCCTATCTCTCTAAGATCCATTTTAATATTGTCCACCCACCCATGCCTTTGTCTTTCCAGTGGTCTATTTCCTTCTGGCTTTCCCACCAATTCATATTCATATCACATAAGTTTATGTTTAAGGGAGCTACTACTGTGAGAAATCAATTTGATTTCTTTCCACTTAAACCTAGTTCCATTTCAGATAAGCTTTTCTGTGTTACGTATGAATATAGGAAATTGTCAAAATTGATAAAACTTCAAGAACTTAATAATGAATTGGGTTTAACACAGCACAAATTAGGTGTTTCACACACACTGTTTCTTACAAAAGATTCAACAACTAACAGGGTTGGCTACTGCATGTCCATGCCCTCTCTCTTCCCCCCCCCCAATATCACGCATTTCCATCCTTCACTAATGCTTTAAAGTGAGTAAGCATTCTTAAGCAAAGGGACAAAACTGTCATCATTTACTTCTGTATTTAAACATGATGTACGTGTTGTTGAGATACTGTCTTTTGGGATGTGGCTCCATGCAGTTTAGTAGATGATTATCAACATTCTTCCAAAATGTTGGCAACAAATTGCCAGATTGCACTGCATTATGTCCCAAAAACAGTACTCTTCATAGTCCTCAGCTTGAAAACCTTAAATCCCATTATGTCGTCACTTGTCTGATATTTTCCTGTTCAATGCATCTTCTGCACGCAAAGAATTCTTCGTTGCACACATATTACAGATCGTCAGTAACTATTAGTTTCTAAAGAAAACGCATTATGAAAATGGAGAATGGCCACACCTGAGCATACTGAATGGAAAGAAATGAAGTAGCCACCTCTGAAATTTCACCAAAGAAATGTATATCAAATTAAAGACACAGATTATGTCTGTGCACACCGCACTGATGGGAAAAATAATAAACAGTTATCCATTCCTATAATGCATCTCAAGTTTTGTTAATGCAATAATGTTTTTATGGCACTTCAATTCTGCTAAAGACTATAATACTTCAGGCATGAGTGTCTGATCCAACTACTGGAATGCCTCACTTTATTCTTAATGAGAATGTAATAATCTTTCTGTAGCTATATACTGTATGGAAGAGATGTGATACTTACTACTGAATTACCATCTCACCAGCAATTTCAGGAGCCTGAACTGTTATTTTAGAACCTGAGCAAACTATTCTAGATTTCTTAAAACGTAAAATTTTCTAACCTGCTAAGTATACCCTGCACCACTTTGTATTTTACAAGTACGTATAGTTCTAACCTCCATTAAAAACCATGTGTTTGAATTGTTTCTATTTAATTATTCGACCTCTCACAAACCAATGCAAAATTGTTTCCATACTTACTGTTCAAATTCCAGTTTTGTGCTAGATTTGTCAAGACAATTCGCATACTGTGTAAATTCCTTAAAACATGTCTTCTTCACTTTTCTAAAGAAGTCTAGAGCACAACTTGTTACAGCTTTTCCTTCAGAAATACATTTTCTAGGATCATTAAGCTCGCTGCGACAAAGCATAAACTCCTGCAAATAAGAAAACGAAATGATGAATTCAAGAGTGTCAAAAATATTTTGCCTGGAAATAACTGGCGATCAGGACGCCATCAAATATTCCTCGGACAACCCTGAAGAATCACGTACTTTATTTCAATTACTAACTTCATGACCTCTGGCTATTACCTCGTAGGCATATCATGGCCTATTGATTCCTATTTTTTAAAATGTCTACGTCTTCCATCAGGGAACGTCTTTAAGTTTATGTATTCGCTTCAATGGAAACATGCGATAACATGCATCACATAGCACATTTCCTCTACTGTAAAAAATCCTAACCTATTCTTACATTGTTCTGAAACTCGCAATATTTTCCATAATGAAACGCTCCAGCTCTAAGTGCCGGACCACTCAGATTAACTTCTTGGACTGTTAATTCTTCTTCAGGTGGTAAATATACATCAGCCGTTATGACCATTTCAAAAGTGTTTCCGAATTAAACTAATTCCTTACAACCTACAAAACTTTACCACACACAATACCACAAAAATTGTGGGTAACATGCTTGCCAATACACTGTCGTTTTATTGGCTACATACATCAGGAAACATACGTATAAAACCTATATAGTCAAGTACACATTCGTATGCATGTCTCGTTACAAATATAACGAACGGAATAGCCGTTAAAATACATTATATTATAAATTTTCTGTTATCCTCTTTAAATTCAGTTGGTGGACTTGTCACTTGCACTCCGCACTGCCATCTACAGTACTGTTCTGAATTATCAGCTGACTTAAGGACGCGCGATTTTCAGTAATTCAATTGTAATTATTATTCTGAATTATCAGCTGACTTAAGGACGCGCGATTTTCAGTAATTCAATTGTAATTATTATTCTGAATTATCAGCTGACTTAAGGACGCGCGATTTTCAGTAATTCAATTGTAATTAAGTTATTCAAATAAAAAAAAATATACGTCGTCACAAGTAATGACCGGTTTCAGCCCTGATGCCTCTTAATGTGAGTGAAAGCTTCACGCTGTTGGACATAGGCGCCAGCAGTTTCCCATGGGGAACCAGAAAATATACTTAACGAACCTATGTTCCAGCTGGTTTTAAAGGGTCCTGACGACGGTGGATGACACACAGAATTACTGGGTTTTTTTACTTTTTCCATCGTCCGGAATTCTAGGTAATAGAAGACACGACGTTTCGGAAACTGGATGTGTTCCCGTCTTCAGGTGAGACATGAAGACGGAAAAAGCTATGTTCCAGCTGTTTAGAACTATTCTTAGTGATCGCCCTAGCGTATTCAGGATATAACAGCAATGACAACACTTTTTATACTTGGTGTTAGTATTTGATATATTTATTTATTTTTATCGCTGAATTTAATTTTAGAAATCCATGGGGGAGGACAATTGATGTTCAGCTTGCCAACACGGTTGACGCTCAAGCTTGGGCACTGACGTGTACCTATTTCGGCAACGATTGTTCGCCATATCCTTTCGTCATTTTTTTCTTGCATTCCTGTAAAGACTACCGTCAGCACAGCATTAAAGGATCATGGAATTTTCCCAATTCCGGTTCGAAACTTTGACATCTGAATTGAAAACCAGCAAGCATTCCTTGATTTAATCTGCTCTGAACGCATTCAAGAATGCAATTTCGATTTATTGGTGCCGTTTGCAAATATTTGAACTTTGCCATATTTTCAAAACATCTGTTTTCTATCTTCATATTGCCTTGCATTCTGGTGACAAGACATAAATATATACTTAGTTTTCTCCGTGCTTACTTCTTGCTAGGGAACGGCTGTTGAACACATAGCAGGATGGAAAACGGTTTAGGGGATGCTGTGGTGATTTGTAAAGTGTGGAGACCAGCGACAAAGCTGGAATTGTAGTTCCGAGTGATGTGTACAATAAATCCAATATATAATTAATCCATATCCCGTATATAGTCAAAGACCCTAAAACATGACAATACAGTAGAACTTGGTTATAACGTCATCAAAGGGACCTAAAAATAGTGTCGTTATAAACGAATGTCGTTGTAACCGAAATGGGCACTTCCTCAGTAGCCTTATGTTAGTCACGTAAAAATCTACTAAAAACCGAGTTAAAATGTTGCATTTTTTAGTGAAATACGTAGTTAAGTACAGACTAACGTAACATTAACGTGGAATTGCCCAAATGTGTAATATCAAAGGCATATTACAGCGCTTTTCACTGACAATACACACCGCACTAATACTGTATATTAAAGGTAGGCCTACTCACCAAATTACAGTAGATTACATCAATTGTTGTGCCTTACTGTACCTAGATACGAGTACAGTAATCAGTTATCTTCATCTGTTTCCTGTTACTTGCCCAATACACACTTTCTAAATTACGTTCAATGTCCATATCAGAGAAATTCAGGAATGAAAATGACGTTACATACGAGGTTGATGCATTTGTGCATGTCGTACTAAGCAAGGTATAAAAACAGTTGCTTTATGAGGAATTAGTTCGTACCATTGAATATTTGACGCAATAGACAAGGTGTCGCAGAAACCGATGTTGCTATAACCAAGTTTTACTGTATTTCATCAGTACACTGCACACAAATCTCCGCTCTGTGTAAACTTTTATGCTTTTGATTACATAACTAAAATTTCTTATGGAACTTGTTCATTTACACTGAAATTAGAACGGTCCCCTCACGACTTGTCAACTTACTGACAGCCTGATTTAAACATCATTTTGCAGGTGGCATAAAGAACTTGTGTGGGAAAGAAACTCATTATTGCGTGTTTTGCCCAGTAGGTGTCAGCAGACGCAGGCTACTTCATGAGTAGGCCTATATTTGTGGGACTTGAGGTTCTCTCAGCGGTGGTTATGAAGAGCTCTATCTTCTGGGATATAGCGCTATGTAGGATCTGAGGTTCTCACAGAGGTGGTCATGAAGAGCTCTATCTTCTGGGATACAGCGCTATGTAGGATCTGAGGTTCTCTCAGCGGTGGTTACGAAGAGTTCTATCTTCTGGGATATAGCGCTATGTAGGATCTGAGGTTCTCCCAGCAGTGGTTATGAAGAGTTCTATCTTCTGGGCTATCGCGCTGTGTAGGATCTGAGGTTCTCCCAGCAGTGGTTATGAAGAGTTCTATCTTCTGGGCTATCGCGCTGTGTAGGATCTGAGGTTCTCCCAGCAGTGGTTATGAAGAGTTCTATCTTCTGGGCTATCGCGCTGTGTAGGATCTGAGGTTCTCCCAGCAGTGGTTATGAAGAGTTCTATCTTCTGGGCTATCGCGCTGTGTAGGATCTGAGGTTCTCCCAGCAGTGGTTATGAAGAGTTCTATCTTCTGGGCTATCGCGCTGTGTAGGATCTGAGGTTCTCCCAGCAGTGGTTATGAAGAGTTCTATCTTCTGGGCTATCGCGCTGTGTAGGATCTGAGGTTCTCCCAGCAGTGGTTATGAAGAGTTCTATCTTCTGGGCTATCGCGCTGTGTAGGATCTGAGGTTCTCCCAGCAGTGGTTATGAAGAGTTCTATCTTCTGGGCTATCGCGCTGTGTAGGATCTGAGGTTCTCCCAGCAGTGGTTATGAAGAGTTCTATCTTCTGGGCTATCGCGCTGTGTAGGATCTGAGGTTCTCCCAGCAGTGGTTATGAAGAGTTCTATCTTCTGGGCTATCGCGCTGTGTAGGATCTGAGGTTCTCCCAGCAGTGGTTATGAAGAGTTCTATCTTCTGGGCTATCGCGCTGTGTAGGATCTGAGGTTCTCCCAGCAGTGGTTATGAAGAGTTCTATCTTCTGGGCTATCGCGCTGTGTAGGATCTGAGGTTCTCCCAGCAGTGGTTATGAAGAGTTCTATCTTCTGGGCTATCGCGCTGTGTAGGATCTGAGGTTCTCCCAGCAGTGGTTATGAAGAGTTCTATCTTCTGGGCTATCGCGCTGTGTAGGATCTGAGGTTCTCCCAGCAGTGGTTATGAAGAGTTCTATCTTCTGGGCTATCGCGCTGTGTAGGATCTGAGGTTCTCCCAGCAGTGGTTATGAAGAGTTCTATCTTCTGGGCTATCGCGCTGTGTAGGATCTGAGGTTCTCCCAGCAGTGGTTATGAAGAGTTCTATCTTCTGGGCTATCGCGCTGTGTAGGATCTGAGGTTCTCCCAGCAGTGGTTATGAAGAGTTCTATCTTCTGGGCTATCGCGCTGTGTAGGATCTGAGGTTCTCCCAGCAGTGGTTATGAAGAGTTCTATCTTCTGGGCTATCGCGCTGTGTAGGATCTGAGGTTCTCCCAGCAGTGGTTATGAAGAGTTCTATCTTCTGGGCTATCGCGCTGTGTAGGATCTGAGGTTCTCCCAGCAGTGGTTATGAAGAGTTCTATCTTCTGGGCTATCGCGCTGTGTAGGATCTGAGGTTCTCCCAGCAGTGGTTATGAAGAGTTCTATCTTCTGGGCTATCGCGCTGTGTAGGATCTGAGGTTCTCCCAGCAGTGGTTATGAAGAGTTCCGTCTTCTGGGGTATAACGCCGTATAGGCCGTTGAAAGTCAACAGACGTTTCTGAGGGACATATCGCCTCCATCTTCAGGATCGAAGAGTAATCCAAGCAAAAAGCCAGAGTGAAAGACGGTGGCAAGCATAGCCAGAAGCCAGAATTCTGCCGCCGCACGTAGAGCTCGTCTCATACTAGTTCGCACTTCGGCCACAAGCAATTATACCCGTATGCTGGTTGATCGGTGTATACTTTACGCCGTGTTGGCCGCAAGATAAGGCGAGCTTTTTTTTTTAATACTGATTTTTATGAAAGAGGTGTCTCTTTATTTTGGGGTCCTTGAGAATAAATATAAAGAAGCTGATGAGTTCTAATTGCTAATTCTAATGATATTTGTGAAAATACCTAGAATTATATTTAAGGTATTAAATTCATAATTTATTATTTCTTAATTGTATGGATTTGGGTTTATAATTTATATTAATTTTTAACTGAAAATTCTGAGTATAAATGTAACGTAAATTATAAATTTTATTTGTTTTATTTTGCTTTGTTCCTCTTACAGGCAGAAGTGTCTGCCTAAGGCAGGCATCGCTTCTCTTTGTGGTGGGTGTGCGTTTGATCATAAGGACTTTGTATATGTTTGTTTCTCTAATAGAAATACGCTGTCAGGTAAGTATACCCGGAAATGAGGTAGGGAACCAGTACAGAGAGTCAGCCCATCACCATGTTGTGCAACTTGTTCCAAAATGTCATCGAATGAAGATTTGAACGCGATACTAAATGATTATGAAGTTTCATGACGAAATATGAAGTTAAATGCCAGGATGGGGAAATTTTGAGGTGAAATCTCAATCTGAACGGCTAATGTATTTTTTTAAGGCTCAAGGTTCCCAGCTGAGCATTTATACCTGGAAATTATGTAGAGCTCACAATTAAAAAAATAAAATGTGATGATAGATGAGGATAGTACAGATATCCCAAGGGAATTTTCACTTGTAGGGAAAGCAAAGTACCCACATTAAACAAGAATCAAAAAGAATTTTCATCATATTCCAATGGAGTACACATACTTTCTAAATCTTTCGATCTAGTCTACAATATATTGTCGAAATCCAACACTGCACTGAATTATATAGCATGCAATTCAATAGTTTTAAGAACACGGCAATTG